GGGGGCGGGGAGGAGGTAAAAAGTTCTGGCTTTTAATATGTTGAATTGCATTTCTTATCATTATAAATTGAAATACCTTAATGTGTGATGCTTAAAATTTATGCTATCATGTGCTTAAAATTTAGGCTATCGTATTTGATTTTAGGTGAAATTGCTTGGGAGCTTTTGAATCACTACGGTATTCCATTAGAGATCACTCAGAGGATATGCGAAAAAAATGCTGTGAAAGTTGACGTGGAAGGATTCGACAAATGTCTCTCTCAGTTAAAGGTATTGGTTAATTCATAATTTGATTCCTAACCTAAGTAGCAACAAGCAGGTTAAAATAGACGGATATAAAATAAAAAAAAACAAGCAAAATAATTGGCCAATGCACCCACTGCTGGTGCGAAGATGCTTGGTTTTATCCGGCAGATGCTTCCAGCTAAAAGAATCGAGAATGGCTATCATGACTGTCAGAAAAGATCATCTTAAAATTTCTGCTTTTTTTAGCTTTTTTGGTTCCCGAGTTAGCAGCTTACTTGCCAGAAACTTTCACGAGCCCATAACTGCTTGGAGGTCTTTCTGTTTGTCTACAGTCTAAAGCTGTGTGTTATTTTTAGATCATTCAAAAAGCTGAAAATGAGCTGTGGCAAAAGGTAAATGTGCAAGAAATGTTAATGAGTGGTGTGCAACCAACGATTGATTCAAGTAAATACGACTACAGACGAGTTGGCATTGAGAAGTATGGTAAGGAAAAAAGCCTTCATTTAAATTTAGAATAGTGCTAATTTTTAAAAAATTCAATCAATAACCACTAGCTGGCAAGCCTAGAAGCAAGTTTATGGCGATTTTGACTCTTTGGCGCGCGCCCGTGCTAAATTTTCATCAAAAACGAAGGATCGAGTTGTAGAGAGATTGTTGAACTCAGTGAAGGAATCGAACTCTCGACCTTTAGCGTAAAAACTGTGCTAATTGCCAGTGCGCCATGTCCACCAGCAAGTTTCAGTGACCCTTGCCGGTAGATGCCCTGCGCTGTATGGGCCGTTGTTCCTGGCCTTGGCTACTGTCCTCTTCCATTCCCTCACGGGGTCTTTGAGTCCCGTACTGCCTTTTACTTCGGGGTGACTTCGTCAAGAATAGTTACTTTATTGTTTGTTTTGTAATAGCATATTCAGACGGTGAATGAAAATTGATTAGAAGGACGAAGGACGATGGGTTGCATTCGATTTCGTGATGCTTACGATTTGCAAAAGTTGAATGCAGTCCACCATTCGTCCTTCCAGCTAACCGCACTTTGTGCTGTCTGTGTTTACAGCTAAGGGATGAAACACCGGCAGACCATTTCCTAACATATTCCTTTCCACATGACCTTTCACCTTTCAGCGTGTCATACGATTTTGTGCCACATGAGCAGCCCTACTATCTTTCCCATCATAACTTAGTAAACTAATTTCACCCTAAAGCAAAATTTTCGGATTGTGGCCGTTCCACATTTTTTACGCTTCGGGCCGTCCACTTTTTTTAAAAATTACGGCTCGGTCTACCAACAGTCACAAGATATTTCAACAAGCTTATCCCACCCTTCGTTTTAACTTTCTGACTCTGACTTTTCCACATTTTGATTTCTTTGGACCGTCCATTTGTTTTACGATTACGATTTGACCTTCCAACGGCCGTAATTTTATTATTTCTTCATCGAGGCGACCACCTATCGCTGAAAGCAGTTGAATTTTATAGAATCAGACAGCTGTAATGTTTTTTTTTCCAGAATTCACCAGTGAAGTAAGCCGCGTTGCTGCAATTTTTGATGCTACTGGAAAACGGACAAAAAAGCTTGCAGCAGGCAAAGCTGGATGTGTCATTATGGAATCGACAAATTTTTTTGCCGAACAAGGTGGCCAGCTTTACGATCATGGTGTGCTTTGGAACAGCTCAAAGGCGGGTTTTCTCCTTTAATTGTGCATCGGCATCTTCAGAATTTCGTAAATTTTTTAGCTTTTTGCTCGTTTATTTTGAAAAGCTAGAGGTCTTGTGCTTTAGGATGGCTCAAAAGGGGAAGGGGAAGGGGTGAATTACGTATTAGGATTATCAAAATTTCTTGTTCTCTTTCCTTCGTTTTGGGATAGCTCAGAAGCGGTTTTTCTTGAATTATACATTAGTATCAAACTCAAAAGCGAGGGTTTCTTTTTTTTAAATATGCATTAATATTATCGAAATTTCTTGTTCTTTTTTTTTCTGTTTTATTAGCTTGAAAAGTAAATTGATTTTAGGAAACTGTGTTTACAGTTCATGGTGCAAAACAACGAAGCGGTTTTATTATCCTTATCGGTGAAGTAGCTGATAATACGGGAATAGAGGAGGGCATGTGCCTAACACAGATCATAAATGAGGTGAGTTTGATGCGAAACTCGGCTAGGCTTTACAAAAACTCGGCTCGGAAAAGCAAACTTTCTATGTCAGCCGCAGGAAACCAGGGGATGGTTATCGTTGGCAAGCGTTAGTGCCACTTCGTTTCGGAGAGGATGAATTACGACAAGTTTGATAGTGTAACTCATTTTTCCATGCTAAAAGCAGATGATGATCTTTTCTAATGAATAGGTTATCCTCGATGAAGGCCTATGCAATATTTGAAGCTATATATGTACAGTGTTGGATAAAACTATATAATGCATATAGAGTGCTAGTCCATCGGAAACGGATAACGAAGGATAAGAGAGATTTTGAAAATTTTGAAAAATCTGAGAGATTTTGAAAATTTTTAGACGATAAATTGTACAGTCATGGTAAATTTTTTGTCTATTTCTTAGAAGGATCGATTTTCCTTAATGTGTGGTCACACAGCTACTCATATTTTGCATTTTGCGCTTCAAAAAGTTTTCGCATCGCCGATTCGACAAATGGGTTCGCTGATTGCTCCTGATAAATTGCATTTTGATTTTTCAGTTGCCAACGGGACAACTGGTGTAATGAAGGTTCGTTTTTCGACATTTTTCTTTTGCTTTCTGCTTTTATACTCACACAAGTTTTTTCTAGATACCTCAGCGTGATATGAGTATAGCAACGGGCTAGGTAGGAGCGAGACACAAGGGACGGAGGGAGGAAGCGGACGAAGGGGAGCGGGGGAGGGGGAGAGGAAAAACGCTAATAGCTCTCACACATGCACAGAGAATATCCCTGCAGAGTTTCAGCCCCTTACCTCGTCTGGTTCTCAAGATCATTTCCCCACCAAAAATTTGCATATTTTTGAAGACATCCGTATGTGGCAGCAAGGAACAGGCGAGCGATGCTCCATGTACAACAAGAATACAAAAACTAAATAGTACAAAAATAAACAATACTAAAATTTTATGTTTCAGGTTGAAGAAGTTACGAATGTTGTAAATGAGATTATTGAAAGTAATTTGGACGTAACTGTGCAATATGTCCGACAAAATGAAGTTGGTCCAGTTCTCGACAGCTTTTCAACGTTCGATATTTCCCAGGTATTCGTGGTTTCATCGATTTTTGATCTGAGGAAATTTTCGGAGAGATGGGATGAAGTTCTTCATCATTCTTTCAGATCTTTGTTGGTATTAGTTTAAAGCCTGCCAACAGGGCTACCAATTTCGCCTGCAAAAACAGTACGGTTTTTGTTTTACAAGAAACAAAACCGTCAAAAAAAATCCATATCAAAAAGTCAAAATCCCCTCCCCTTACTCATTTCTGTGAGAGCCGGATGCATTTGTGAATTATCCTGAGTAGTAGCAGATTGCTACAGCAAGGCTGCCGATGGCTTCCTCTTTCGAAATTTGTTTACTGACAAGATGGTGGCGAGTTTGACTTCCTGGCATTAGGCGCGAATCCAGGGCGGCATCCTGAAGGGAGGGGAGGAGGGGAGAAAGCTACGAGCGGAGGGGAGAGGGGGTGAGACTCCTGGGGGAGGAGGAGGCGACTGGGGGTGCGGGAGAGAGTTTTCTACAGTTCTGGCACTGCTAAAACTGGGATGAGAGGTGGGGG